AATATCGAAATTTAAAAAAATTAAGAAAAAGCTAATTCGTTTCTGAAAGTAATGAAATATATATATAATCTTTTTCTCTAAAACAAACTTGTTTGAACTAAAATTCATTATTAAAAGAATAAAATGTATGTTTTATGTTAGACTTTCATTACTTTCAGAAACGAATTAGCTTTTTCTTAATTTTTTTAAAGTTCGATATTTTTTCAGTCACTAAAGAATCATTTACAAGAAATAATTACTTGGACTCAAAGGTTTCAACACCAAAAATCTATAAAACAAACAAACAAAAATGTAAATACTGAGTAATTTAAACCTGAACTTGAGAATCGTTATCCATATTGCTTCATAAGAAAGAGGAAACCACATTTACAAAACTCTGACGTAGAACCAACCCCCCACTGATTTTCCAAGTAAAGACAAAAGAACATGGTTTACAAGAAATAAGAAGTTTTACTTCCTCTCACTGACTTCAACTTTAATTTAACTGTACTGATCAAACTAACACACAAGATGGCAACAGAAAGGAATCCAGGTGATGCTGGTACATGTTTTATTTTTTTATCTGAATAAAAATAGTTTATCTGTTACATAATCTGATTTATTATTGCCTGTTTAATCAATGAGGACCAATGAAAACACTATCACAAGACAGACAACCTGATATTTTTACTGTAACAAAAAGAGAAACAATATGAAAGTTGCTTCTAAATAAAAAAAATTGTTAAGAACTCGTGATGCACAGAATTACACAACATTCTCATTTGCCAGCATTATTTTTCTTGTGACAATTAGACAGTATTGGATAATAAAAAAAAGTATATTTTTCAAATGATTTCTTGCAGACAAAAACTTCTAAACCAAGTCCAGTAAAAACATCTTCTCTGTATTCTTTTGTATACAAACTGTAGCTCTGGTAGTAATTTTTTCACATTTGATAAATTTCTGTACATTTAAGTTAAAATCCCTTGCATCAATGAAGCTTTATTTTGTCACATTTTAAGTTGACTTGCGTGTTTCTAAAAGCTTCATGTTGTGCTAAAGAAATTGGCTGATAAAATCACATCTTATCTCCTGTATCACATCATTTGAGAACAGTGCTGTAAGTTTTTACAGTTTAAAGTAAAGCTACTTATCACAGTACTGGGAATACTTACAATAAGGCTGTCCAGAAATGTGGTGTTACAACTAAACAGAGCTGTTTACTTCTGTCTCCTGTCAAAAACCCCACACCTAATATGCTTTTTATCAAGTATAATTCCTTCCTTTTTTTTGTTTCAGAGAAAACATTTCAGATTTATCACATGGAAAGTGTTTCTCCAGAGGTCTGTCAGTGTACGTACACTGTGTGACGAGGCCCTGATGGCTCCACAGGGGTCCAGAGAGGACCCTATGGGGACAACTCAGTGGGCCTCAGTCACAGCACTTGTGTCTCTGGGGTTAGATTAAGCTTAATTAACTAAACCATCCAGCACGCTCTGATGAATGGATACAAGTCAAGGGCAGAGCAATCGCGGGTGTGCTCACGCTTTCTCTGGCACACGGCTCTGAGCTGAGAATGTGTGTGTACGGTGTGTTTGTGTAGCTGCAAAGGGAAATTGATACTCTAGCTGTGCAAAATCATGTTGTTTAATAATGCGGCTTATTTAACCTTTAATGCTATTGACTTTTGTATGAAATAGATTTAAAACCCTCAATGCTACGTGTGATGCATCATCCACTTTCTGGTTCCTAATACGGACAAACTGGACTTTTAAAGCAATGCAAAAACTGCATCACAAAATGGAGAAAAAACAAGAAATATACCGTATATAAGATCCCATTTTTTTTTATCTTTGAGTCATTCTTTTGTCCTGAATTGTTTTCCCA